CCAGCGGGGAATCGAACCACCACCAGCAGTCTGTCAGCGTCGTCAAGAACGACGCCCTACCAACTGAGCCGCGAGGACACCTATGCTATTGCAACTAAGAAGTGAATTCCAATTTGAGGATGTGACCTGAGGCAAAATTTCTTTTTGATGGCTATCAGTTCAAAAGGTGAAACTGCAACATTCAAGCTTCCGTCCAACATTGAAGATGGGGCGCGGGGATTTAAACATACGTCAAATCCTCAGCTTGGATTTGCAACCGCAAGTCTGGAGTCTGGAAGCGCAAACATCGACGATTCCCCTTTGCAGGAGGCACTCTTGGGAATGCCGATGTCGGGATTCTCCACAGGAACTGGAAATCTGAACACCACAAGCCGCTTTTGAAGCATCTATAAATCTCCGAGCGTCACACCGGCTTTCGGTGTGTGTGTAGATAGTCTAATCTTCCAGTGAAGAAAAAGGGGAGCTACAGCAATCATAGCTGAGAGTCAAAGATCGCGTTTATCTTTCGTCTTGGTGGAGGCTTCAGGTTGGGCTTGCCACTGTGATGGGCGCTGTCCTTCTGCTGCAAGAGCGCTGTTGATTTCCAACCGCATTGATGAGAAAGAGTTCACTACTGCAATTTTTTCAGCTTTGTTCCATGGACGGGGCAAGCAACGAAAGATAGCTTTGTTGGGTTCCTCTGCAAATGAGGGAAATCTTTCATCTGGGCCCCAATGAAGGAGATCTACCCACAGGGCAGTGTGTGCTTGGCACCATCGGCTTCCGCCTTTCCACTGCTCTATGTGGAGGCGTCAAATAAAAGTATCCAGCCGCGCTTCAACCTTTAAGATGGCCATACGGGGTTCTCAAGTGCTGCGCCTGTCACGCAAAAAATTGAATCTCTAAAATAATCGTGCAAACAAAGAGCCCAACTAAACCCACCGCGCTGTGGCGAGAACACAATTTTGGTGTTGCGGGCCAGACGGTTTAGTACCCTACTAAACGCTCCGCGCTGTGGCGTGAGATCCATTTTGGCTGGTCAGCTCACATTCTAAGAAATATTTTTTTTAGTATAAGGTCTTTTTATCGAATTGAACCAACTATACGCTATACGCTGGCCATGTTTTTCCGCAAATTTCCACGGTTTTCAGGGTATAGTAGGCCAAGTTCATCAACTATACGCTCCGCGCTGTGGGAAAACGCACATCCTAGCTTGGCGGCTGTTGGGCTGCTTTTAGCAACCGCTGGCGGCGCTTTGCTGCCGACTTCTGTTCTGTCTTGTTCTCCGCGATGGCCTCAAGAGGGCCAGCATCAGAAAACAGTGACATGGAGAATGCCAACAAACCTGCTTCATCATGGCCCCTAAAACAGGGCCCAAAAAAGTGGTTAAAACATGGCTGCGATAAAGGGACCTTGACAGTAGCAACCGGACTTGGGACGCACAAAGAGAAAAAGGTATGAGTTGACATTCATGTTCAAGCTGCAGGGTCGCAAATCTGCTTGCACAACACGTGCGGGCAGCAGCGAAATTCTCCGATGGCTGACCCCATTTTTGGGTCCAAATATGGACCCCAAAATGAGGTCCAGAATTGGATCACATTTTCATTCCTTCTTTTAGGTCTTTGCTTGGGCCCCGTTTTGGGATCCAGATTTGGACCCAAAAGTGGGCTCAGCCATCGGAGAATTTTGCTGCTGCCCGCAGAGGTTTTGCAAGCAGATTTGCGACGCACTAGCATGAGCGTAAGTGTTAATACATGCTTTTTCTCTCTCTGCGTCCCACTTTGTTTCTTGTACAGTATTGCTGTCATTTTCACCTTAGATCTTGTTTCACCTTCCCGTTTCACCCTTTTTTCGTTTCTCACCACTCTCGTTGCGACCCGGCGTTGTCGGTGTTTGCTTCGAAGTGCCTGGGTGTAATGTCATGCCTGAACGGCTGCTCTTTGTGATCTCGGGGCTGGCTGGGGGGATCCCTGGTTTCCGCATGGAGCTTTGTTGCTTCCCTCACCAACCAACGTGGCCCTTTGGTCTGTTTTGTGTTTGTTCTGTTTTTGTTTCTTGTTCTGGGCCATTCTTAGTATGACACATAAGATGTCATCATGCATGTAATTCCCATTGCTGGTTGCGATCCCACTTCTCTCTGTCGTTTTTGTTTGGTTTTTGTTTTGGTTGTGTGTTTTTCCTGTTTTTGCTTTGTTGTTTTTGGTTTGCTTTCTTGTCTGTTCTCTTGCTGGGACAGTTTCTGGACTGCGTACTGGTCCACAACCGGCACTTTTGTAGCTCTCGACAATTTGACAGCCCTGCATGTAAACTACAATTCACCTGTTTGCCGCGATTGAATGTGTGTAACGACCTGGCGGAAGCCATGAAGGCGTTGGACGGAAAAAAAGCCGACTGGTACCCTTTGCTACTGGGCAAACTTGCTGAGTCGGTCGTCGTAATATCTGGTGCTCCCAATGTTGGCAAATCCAGCCTAGCAGTCCACCTGGCCAGGACCCTGGGTTTGACGCGTACAAAGACTACGAGCAAAAATTTCTGGCTGTTTGCGCGAAGCCAGAGGCCGTATTTTTCCCTCTGGGTGTATTGCACAGATTCGTTCTCGACAGTCTGTATCATCTATTACTTCAAGCGAAGAATTCGGCACAGGAGCAGTCATTCTCGAGGGTCACCGAATTTTTGCTTTTCCAGGTTATGCCGATTTGGCCACCACTGTTGTTTACCTGGCGGCTACGGACAAACTTTTGTTTGAGCGAGGAACAGAAGCAGGGTCAATCCGGAAGCACAAGCTTTTCCTGTCGAATGTACTGGACCAACTGCAAAGGCTCAACAAGATGATCATTCTGGTTGGTCTTGCCAGCGCTGACAGACTGCCGGTGGTGGTTCGAATCCCTGCTGGCCCACTCGGGAGTCTCAAGTGCGACCCGCCGAAAGGCAACGGGCGCCGACCACAAAAAAGATGATCACAGTATGCATTCCCAGCTGTTGCATCTTTTCACCTGATCAAGGCAGAGCTACTGCTACCATCAGTTCAAGGTTCGGATGTATGGAATTAAGCTGTCATCACCAGCGCACTCTTTCACCCATGCTTCAATGTTGCCACTTCCAGCACCGCGGCTTGGGAAGATACACGATGCTTGCCCCACACTAGGGCGCCCAGCTGGAATCTTTGGACACTCATCCCATTGCAAGGCTTTCAATGCATGCGACGATATGCAATTCTGCTGCTTGGTCACTCCAGTTCCTTCAAAAGCCCGCTGCCAATCTCGATGCGAAAGCACTGTCTCCACTGCAGTGGCCATCACACGTAGCCATGCTTCTCGGGAAACAACACCTTCAGCAGCTTCGCTCTTTGTCTGCGTCCACTGCCGCCGGATCTCACAGCGTAGGGTGCGAAAAATATATGCATCAAGCGGTTGAAGTGTACCGGTAGCACCAGCCGGCACCACTAGGACCTGCAACCCCAATGTTTTGGCCAATGACCTCACAGTAGAATGGAGGTGGCATGCAGCACAGTCGAAGAGGAGCGTCAAAGGCTTTTCAGGGCAGTAAGATTGCCAATTTTCATGTAGAAGACGCAAATAGGAACACATGAATGCAGCAGTATTCCATGCGGTGGCACCACGCCAAATTTTCAATCGATCCGTGATTGCCGGATCCAAGGACTTCATAAATTTGATGGGAAACTGGGTCTTGTTGGCAATGATAACCTGCGGCAAGATTGCGTTGAAACCGAAGTCTGTAGACACTGATGCTAAGAGCGTCATCCGGGACCTCTGGGTACTCAAAGATGCTCGCACTGCACCACGCCACCGGTAAAAAGAATAGGCCTGGCTTGCAAGCTCCAAAACAAAAATTGCTTCAAAAGCAGGCCCCAAAAAAGGGGTGCCAAAAATGAACCCTAAAAAGGGGGCCACCCTATTTACCTGAGCCATGGGGACCTGAAATTGGGGTTCCAGAACTGCTTTCAAAATTGGGTACCAAACCGACCCAACCTGACCAAGTCCACGCCTTCTCCTGCAACACATGGATTGGCAAAGAAGCTGTGACAGGTAAGGTGCCTATGCGCCCGTTCCAAGCTTTCCGAAAACGTCTCAAATATGTCCGTTGGGATGGAGGGCCACCATAGAAAGGCAAACACAGGCGGTTCTCTACAGCCTCTGGAAGGCCGTCCGGAACAAAGAGCAAAGCCTGTCTTACTAACTGCTGCCTTGTGGGGGCCACTCCATACTCGACATTTTGAGACCTGACCCAATCATGAAGCAGGTATTGTATAATGAAATCACAAGCCCGGTACAGCTCCGATGCAGGTGGGTCTGTGCTCAACCGAGCCATCAACGCTGCCGAAGTAGGGCAAACAAAGCATCGAAGGCATCCTTCGCCGACACGGCCACCTGCACAATCACCAGAGGAGCAGCGCGAGCGAGGTAGGTAGCCGCGGCGTCCAAAGCATGATGCGACGTCTTTGCTTGGCTCAAAAGGTAGACCAGGAGCGCCTGTCTCACGCATGAAGCAGAGAGGCCGCTCCATGAGCCTTGCGACTCATCCAGCTGTCTTCTCAAACTTCTCCTCACGGAGCGGATCCTGCGGCTCAAGCCCGCCAACTCAATTGAGCTCATGGCTGCACATACATGGCATCACATCTCAAAGTACTGCCCGCAGGTAGAATGCTATCATGTCAAGGTCACTTGCTGCCACTTTGAAAATTAGTTGTCAGTTCAAGACAGCAAGCTCTGGGGTCCCCATCCGTTAGTAAACTTTTTGGACTTGTGGAAATCAACGTTAACTTTGAAGCACTTGCTTGATGCGTTCGGTCAAAGCAGCGGTGCACACAGGAGCTGCGTTCTAGGTTCCCAAGTACAGCATGGGATGCTTTCTGGTTGCAACATAAAGCGTGGGCAAATCCAAGTGGAGGAAAAAAATATATATATATATATACAAACATTCTTTACGCAATTTTTTGCACACTGTATGCATTCCCAGCTGTTGCATCTTTTCACCTGATCAAGGCAGAGCTACTGCTACCATCAGTTCAAGGTTCGGATGTATGGAATTAAGCTGTCATCACCAGCGCACTCTTTCACCCATGCTTCAATGTTGCCACTTCCAGCACCGCGGCTTGGGAAGATACACGATGCTTGCCCCACACTAGGGCGCCCAGCTGGAATCTTTGGACACTCATCCCATTGCAAGGCTTTCAATGCATGCGACGATATGCAATTCTGCTGCTTGGTCACTCCAGTTCCTTCAAAAGCCCGCTGCCAATCTCGATGCGAAAGCACTGTCTCCACTGCAGTGGCCATCACACGTAGCCATGCTTCTCGGGAAACAACACCTTCAGCAGCTTCGCTCTTTGTCTGCGTCCACTGCCGCCGGATCTCACAGCGTAGGGTGCGAAAAATATATGCATCAAGCGGTTGAAGTGTACCGGTAGCACCAGCCGGCACCACTAGGACCTGCAACCCCAATGTTTTGGCCAATGACCTCACAGTAGAATGGAGGTGGCATGCAGCACAGTCGAAGAGGAGCGTCAAAGGCTTTTCAGGGCAGTAAGATTGCCAATTTTCATGTAGAAGACGCAAATAGGAACACATGAATGCAGCAGTATTCCATGCGGTGGCACCACGCCAAATTTTCAATCGATCCGTGATTGCCGGATCCAAGGACTTCATAAATTTGATGGGAAACTGGGTCTTGTTGGCAATGATAACCTGCGGCAAGATTGCGTTGAAACCGAAGTCTGTAGACACTGATGCTAAGAGCGTCATCCGGGACCTCTGGGTACTCAAAGATGCTCGCACTGCACCACGTACAGACCGCAAAACAGTACCTCGGCACCCTTCCACGTGCACAGCCAAAGAACATTCATCCATGTTGACCAAAATATTGTCTGGCGGGATGCAGTTGGCCCACCGGTAAAAAGAATAGGCCTGGCTTGCAAGCTCCAAAACAAAAATTGCTTCAAAAGTAGGCCCCAAAAAAGGGGTGCCAAAAATGAACCCTAAAAAGGGGGCCACCCTATTTACCTGAGCCATGGGGACCTGAAATTGGGGTTCCAGAACTGCTTTCAAAATTGGGTACCAAACCGACCCAACCCGACCAAGTCCACGCCTTCTCCTGCAACACATGGATTGGCAAAGAAGCTGTGACAGGTAAGGTGCCTATGCGCCCGTTCCAAGCTTTCCGAAAACGTCTCAAATATGCCCGTTGGGATGGAGGGCCACCATAGAAAGGCAAACACAGGCGGTTCTCTACAGCCTCTGGAAGGCCGTCCGGAACAAAGAGCAAAGCCTGTCTTACTAACTGCTGCCTTGTGGGGGCCACTCCATACTCGACATTTTGAGACCTGACCCAATCATGAAGCAGGTATTGTATAATGAAATCACAAGCCCGGTACAGCTCCGATGCAGGTGGGTCTGTGCTCAACCGAGCCATCAACGCTGCCGAAGTAGCGGCAAACAAAGCATCGAAGGCATCCTTCGCCGACACGGCCACCTGCACAATCACCAGAGGAGCAGCGCGAGCGAGGTAGGTAGCCGCGGCGTCCAAAGCATGATGCGACGTCTTTGCTTGGCTCAAAAGGTAGACCAGGAGCGCCTGTCTCACGCATGAAGCAGAGAGGCCGCTCCATGAGCCTTGCGACTCATCCAGCTGTCTTCTCAAACTTCTCCTCACGGAGCGGATCCTGCGGCTCAAGCCCGCCAACTCAATTGAGCTCATGGCTGCACATACATGGCATCACATCTCAAAGTACTGCCCGCAGGTAGAATGCTATCATGTCAAGGTCACTTGCTGCCACTTTGAAAATTAGTTGTCAGTTCAAGACAGCAAGCTCTGGGGTCCCCATCCGTTAGTAAACTTTTTGGACTTGTGGAAATCAACGTTAACTTTGAAGCACTTGCTTGATGCGTTCGGTCAAAGCAGCGGTGCACACAGGAGCTGCGTTCTAGGTTCCCAAGTACAGCATGGGATGCTTTCTGGTTGCAACATAAAGCGTGGGCAAATCCAAGTGGAGGAAAAAAATATATATATATATATACAAACATTCTTTACGCAATTTTTTGCACACTGGTATGCATTCCCAGCTGTTGCATCTTTCACCTGATCAAGGAGCAGAGCTACTGCTACCATCAGTTCAAGGTTCGGATGTATGGAATTAAGCTGTCATCACCAGCGCACTCTTTCACCCATGCTTCAATGTTGCCACTTCCAGCACCGCGGCTTGGGAAGATACACGATGCTTGCCCCACACTAGGGCGCCCAGCTGGAATCTTTGGACACTCATCCCATTGCAAGGCTTTCAATGCATGCGACGATATGCAATTCTGCTGCTTGGTCACTCCAGTTCCTTCAAAAGCCCGCTGCCAATCTCGATGCGAAAGCACTGTCTCCACTGCAGTGGCCATCACACGTAGCCATGCTTCTCGGGAAACAACACCTTCAGCAGCTTCGCTCTTTGTCTGCGTCCACTGCCGCCGGATCTCACAGCGTAGGGTGCGAAAAATATATGCATCAAGCGGTTGAAGTGTACCGGTAGCACCAGCCGGCACCACTAGGACCTGCAACCCCAATGTTTTGGCCAATGACCTCACAGTAGAATGGAGGTGGCATGCAGCACAGTCGAAGAGGAGCGTCAAAGGCTTTTCAGGGCAGTAAGATTGCCAATTTTCATGTAGAAGACGCAAATAGGAACACATGAATGCAGCAGTATTCCATGCGGTGGCACCACGCCAAATTTTCAATCGATCCGTGATTGCCGGATCCAAGGACTTCATAAATTTGATGGGAAACTGGGTCTTGTTGGCAATGATAACCTGCGGCAAGATTGCGTTGAAACCGAAGTCTGTAGACACTGATGCTAAGAGCGTCATCCGGGACCTCTGGGTACTCAAAGATGCTCGCACTGCACCACGTACAGACCGCAAAACAGTACCTCGGCACCCTTCCACGTGCACAGCCAAAGAACATTCATCCATGTTGACCAAAATATTGTCTGGCGGGATGCAGTTGGCCCACCGGTAAAAAGAATAGGCCTGGCTTGCAAGCTCCAAAACAAAAATTGCTTCAAAAGTAGGCCCCAAAAAAGGGGTGCCAAAAATGAACCCTAAAAAGGGGGCCACCCTATTTACCTGAGCCATGGGGACCTGAAATTGGGGTTCCAGAACTGCTTTCAAAATTGGGTACCAAACCGACCCAACCCGACCAAGTCCACGCCTTCTCCTGCAACACATGGATTGGCAAAGAAGCTGTGACAGGTAAGGTGCCTATGCGCCCGTTCCAAGCTTTCCGAAAACGTCTCAAATATGCCCGTTGGGATGGAGGGCCACCATAGAAAGGCAAACACAGGCGGTTCTCTACAGCCTCTGGAAGGCCGTCCGGAACAAAGAGCAAAGCCTGTCTTACTAACTGCTGCCTTGTGGGGGCCACTCCATACTCGACATTTTGAGACCTGACCCAATCATGAAGCAGGTATTGTATAATGAAATCACAAGCCCGGTACAGCTCCGATGCAGGTGGGTCTGTGCTCAACCGAGCCATCAACGCTGCCGAAGTAGCGGCAAACAAAGCATCGAAGGCATCCTTCGCCGACACGGCCACCTGCACAATCACCAGAGGAGCAGCGCGAGCGAGGTAGGTAGCCGCGGCGTCCAAAGCATGATGCGACGTCTTTGCTTGGCTCAAAAGGTAGACCAGGAGCGCCTGTCTCACGCATGAAGCAGAGAGGCCGCTCCATGAGCCTTGCGACTCATCCAGCTGTCTTCTCAAACTTCTCCTCACGGAGCGGATCCTGCGGCTCAAGCCCGCCAACTCAATTGAGCTCATGGCTGCACATACATGGCATCACATCTCAAAGTACTGCCCGCAGGTAGAATGCTATCATGTCAAGGTCACTTGCTGCCACTTTGAAAATTAGTTGTCAGTTCAAGACAGCAAGCTCTGGGGTCCCCATCCGTTAGTAAACTTTTTGGACTTGTGGAAATCAACGTTAACTTTGAAGCACTTGCTTGATGCGTTCGGTCAAAGCAGCGGTGCACACAGGAGCTGCGTTCTAGGTTCCCAAGTACAGCATGGGATGCTTTCTGGTTGCAACATAAAGCGTGGGCAAATCCAAGTGGAGGAAAAAAGAGGTATATATATATATATACAAACATTCTTTACGCAATTTTTTGCACACTGTATGCATTCCCAGCTGTTGCATCTTTTCACCTGATCAAGGCAGAGCTACTGCTACCATCAGTTCAAGGTTCGGATGTATGGAATTAAGCTGTCATCACCAGCGCACTCTTTCACCCATGCTTCAATGTTGCCACTTCCAGCACCGCGGCTTGGGAAGATACACGATGCTTGCCCCACACTAGGGCGCCCAGCTGGAATCTTTGGACACTCATCCCATTGCAAGGCTTTCAATGCACGCGACGATATGCAATTCTGCTGCTTGGTCACTCCAGTTCCTTCAAAAGCCCGCTGCCAATCTCGATGCGAAAGCACTGTCTCCACTGCAGTGGCCATCACACGTAGCCATGCTTCTCGGGAAACAACACCTTCAGCAGCTTCGCTCTTTGTCTGCGTCCACTGCCGCCGGATCTCACAGCGTAGGGTGCGAAAAATATATGCATCAAGCGGTTGAAGTGTACCGGTAGCACCAGCCGGCACCACTAGGACCTGCAACCCCAATGTTTTGGCCAATGACCTCACAGTAGAATGGAGGTGGCATGCAGCACAGTCGAAGAGGAGCGTCAAAGGCTTTTCAGGGCAGTAAGATTGCCAATTTTCATGTAGAAGACGCAAATAGGAACACATGAATGCAGCAGTATTCCATGCGGTGGCACCACGCCAAATTTTCAATCGATCCGTGATTGCCGGATCCAAGGACTTCATAAATTTGATGGGAAACTGGGTCTTGTTGGCAATGATAACCTGCGGCAAGATTGCGTTGAAACCGAAGTCTGTAGACACTGATGCTAAGAGCGTCATCCGGGACCTCTGGGTACTCAAAGATGCTCGCACTGCACCACGTACAGACCGCAAAACAGTACCTCGGCACCCTTCCACGTGCACAGCCAAAGAACATTCATCCATGTTGACCAAAATATTGTCTGGCGGGATGCAGTTGGCCCACCGGTAAAAAGAATAGGCCTGGCTTGCAAGCTCCAAAACAAAAATTGCTTCAAAAGCAGGCCCCAAAAAAGGGGTGCCAAAAATGAACCCTAAAAAGGGGGCCACCCTATTTACCTGAGCCATGGGGACCTGAAATTGGGGTTCCAGAACTGCTTTCAAAATTGGGTACCAAACCGACCCAACCCGACCAAGTCCACGCCTTCTCCTGCAACACATGGATTGGCAAAGAAGCTGTGACAGGTAAGGTGCCTATGCGCCCGTTCCAAGCTTTCCGAAAACGTCTCAAATATGCCCGTTGGGATGGAGGGCCACCATAGAAAGGCAAACACAGGCGGTTCTCTACAGCCTCTGGAAGGCCGTCCGGAACAAAGAGCAAAGCCTGTCTTACTAACTGCTGCCTTGTGGGGGCCACTCCATACTCGACATTTTGAGACCTGACCCAATCATGAAGCAGGTATTGTATAATGAAATCACAAGCCCGGTACAGCTCCGATGCAGGTGGGTCTGTGCTCAACCGAGCCATCAACGCTGCCGAAGTAGCGGCAAACAAAGCATCGAAGGCATCCTTCGCCGACACGGCCACCTGCACAATCACCAGAGGAGCAGCGCGAGCGAGGTAGGTAGCCGCGGCGTCCAAAGCATGATGCGACGTCTTTGCTTGGCTCCAAAGGTAGACCAGGAGCGCCTGTCTCACGCATGAAGCAGAGAGGCCGCTCCATGAGCCTTGCGACTCATCCAGCTGTCTTCTCAAACTTCTCCTCACGGAGCGGATCCTGCGGCTCAAGCCCGCCAACTCAATTGAGCTCATGGCTGCACATACATGGCATCACATCTCAAAGTACTGCCCGCAGGTAGAATGCTATCATGTCAAGGTCACTTGCTGCCACTTTGAAAATTAGTTGTCAGTTCAAGACAGCAAGCTCTGGGGTCCCCATCCGTTAGTAAACTTTTTGGACTTGTGGAAATCAACGTTAACTTTGAAGCACTTGCTTGATGCGTTCGGTCAAAGCAGCGGTGCACACAGGAGCTGCGTTCTAGGTTCCCAAGTACAGCATGGGATGCTTTCTGGTTGCAACATAAAGCGTGGGCAAATCCAAGTGGAGGAAAAAAAAATATATATATATATATACAAACATTCTTTACGCAATTTTTTGCACACTGTGGGGAGACATCGGCTTGGCCCGGAACATGTGCAAATTTCAACCCCAGAAACCTGGCCCCACCCAAACACCATGCGCGCCTCCGGTGCGCGAGCTTTGGGTGGCATGTTCGGCAACGCAAGAGCTACCCACACGGCCAAGCTATGCCCCAAAAACACTGGAGCAAAAACGCAAAAGTGTTGGGACAAAAAAAGCTGTGCTGGAAGTGCTGGGGCAAAAAAGTCTACGCTGGACACGCAAGTCACACATTGGCACACTGCTTCCAAGAGATGTCAGCCTGCATGATTGCAGACATATAGAGATTGACGCATAGACAGATGGATCGGCGGCAGATAGACAAACAGGCAGACAGACAGACAGACAGGCAGGAATAGATGGGAAGGTGCCTTTGACCGCAGCAAGAAAACCTGGTTGGTTAGAGAATCCAGTTGGGACAGACACACACGGCTCACTGCGCTACGCTACTTTTGCGGGTCCAAAGCTGTCGAAGCGCTGCGACATCACAAGTTCTGTGAGAAGTTGGGCTATGGATAACTCCTTCGGAGATTCTAAGTCACCTCATGCCACCAAAATCAAAAACGTCTTCTTCATCCTGCTCTGCACTCAAGGCCAATTCTTCCAACTCAGCCTTTCTTTTTGCTTCCTCCGCAAAAAACGGGAAAATCATTTGGACAAATCTCTTGCTCACCATGATATAGATGCAAGGGCAAACTTTGGACCCGGAAATATTGCGTAGTGTCTGCGTTTGGGGAGTCTAGTACTGTCCAGACATGGTCTACCCCTTTCTGTGCACATGAGCGGGGACCAAAACTAGGGGTCACAAAGGCGGTCATGAGCAAAAGTTTATCGGTTTAGATCGTTCGCTATATCGATTTACATGCTTTTGGAGCATGACGAACGATGGCTCTTGATTTGGAGATCCATTTCCATTCATCTCCGCAGAATCCAAAATAGGTGGTCAGCAGTCTGCTGTCCACTGTTGGCTTCAAAGTGCAGAAGGAATTTCCCGCAGAACTCAGAACAACTTGGTTTTGCACTGTTGCATGCCTACCAGGTGGCTAAAGTAATGTAAAGTCATGTAAAGTCAACCCACCGCATGGGCACACCCATTCATGGTTGCTTCTCAAATACTGCGCCTGCCGCCTGCCACGTTCAAGCTGGCCATAGTTGCTTCTCAAATACTGCCCCTGCCACCTGCCACGTTCAAGATGGCCATAGTTGCTTCTCAAATACTGCCCCTGCCACCTGGCACGTTCAAGATGGCCATAGTTGCTTCTCAAATACTGCCCCTGCCACCTGCCACCTTCAAGCTGGCCATAATTGTTTCTCAAATAGTGCGCCTTGCCAGTTGCAACGTTCAAGCTGCCCATAGTTACTTCTCAAATACTGCCCCTGCCATTTGCCACGTTCAAGAGGGCCATAGTTGTTTCTCAAATACTGCCCCTGCCAGTTGCCACGTTCAAGATGGCCATAGTTGCTTCTCAAGTACTGCGCCTGCCAGTTGCCACGTTCAAGATGGCCATAGTTGCTTCTCAAATACTGCCCCTGCCAGTTGCCACGTTCAAGCTGGCCATAGTTGCTTCTCAAATACTGCGCCTGCCAGTTGCCACGTTCAAGATGGCCATAGTTGTTTCTCAAACACTGCCCGTGCCAGCTGCCACGTTCAAGATGGACATAGTTGTTTCATAAGTACTGCGCCTGCCCACAATTTTTCTCATAAGATGGCATTTTTTATCTTACATTGTTTGGGTTCGATTTTTTTGCCACAGACATTTTTATAAGGTGCCATTTTTTTTCAACTGTTTTGCTCCGATTTTTTTGGCAACAGTCATTTTTATAAGGCGCATTTTTTATCCTACGCTGTTTGGTTCAGATTTCTTTGGCCACAGTCATTTTTATAAGGTGCCATTTTTTTCAACTGTTTGGCTCCGTTTTTTTGGCAACAGTCATTTTATAAATTGCATTGTCTTATCTTGCACTGTGGCTCAATTTTTTTTCGCCACAGTCATTTTTATAGGGTGCCATTTTTTTGTTTTCAACTGTCTGGTTCCGATTTTTTTGGTCACTGTCATTTTTATAAGGCGTTTTTTTTTTCCTACGCTGTTTGGTTCAGATTTTTTGGGCCACAGTCATTTTTGTAAGGTGCCATTTTTTGCAACTGTTTGGCTCCGTTTTTTTGGCAACAGTCATTTTATAGATTGCATTTTCTTACCTTGCACTGTGGCTCATTTTTTTCTCGCCACAGTAATTTTTATAGGGTGCCATTTTTTATCTTCAACTGTTTGGCTCCGATTTTTTTGGCCACTGTCATTTTTATATAAGGCGCATTTTTTACCTTACACTGTTTGGTTCAATTTGTTTTCGCCACTGTGGTTTTTATAAGGTGCCATATTTTTTTTCAACTGTTTTGCTCCCATTTTTTGCCAGCAGTTTTTTTTTTTAATTGCCATTTTTTTTCATCTTACACTGTTAGGCTCAGATTTTTTTCGCCACAATCATTTCTATAAGGTGCCATTTTTTATCTTCAACTGTTGGCTCCGATTTTTTGGCCACGGTCATTTTTATAAGCCGCAGTTTTTGATCTTACACTGTTTGTCTCAGGTTTTTTTGGGCACAAACATTTTTGTAAGGTGCCATTTTTTGCAACTGTTTGGCTCCGGTTTTTTGGCAACAGTGATTCTTTAAATTGCATTTTTTTATCTTGCACTGTGTGGCTCATTTATTTTCGCCACAGTCATTTTTATAAGGTGCCATTTTTTATCTTCAACTGTTTGGCTCCGATTTTTTTGGTCACTGTCATTTTTATATAAGGCGCATTTTTGACCTTACACTGTTTGGTTCAATTTGTTTTCGCCACTGTGGTTTTTATAACGTGCCATATTTTTTTTCAACTGTTTTGCTCCCATTTTTTGCCAGCAGTTTTTTTATAAATTGCCATTTTTTATCTTACACTGTTAGGCTCAGATTTTTTTCGCCACAGTCATTTCTATAAGGTGCCATTTTTTATCTTCAACTGTTTGGTTCCGATTTTTTGGCCACGGTCATTTTTATAAGGCGCATTTTCTGATCTTACACTGTTTGTCTCAGATTTTTTTGGGCACAAACATTTTTGTAGGGTGCTAAATTTTGTCTTCAACTGTTTGGTTCCCATTTTTTGGCCACTGTTGTTTTTATAAGGTGCATTTTTTTATCCTACGCTGTTTGGCTCAGATCGTTTTGGCGCCGCCCAAACTCAAGATGAGATAAGGTGCCTCTAAAATGCTGCGCGTGCCACTGCCTTCTCAAATACTCCGCGCCTGCCACTGCACAAATTTAAGTTTCCATAGATAGTTACCCGGGCGCGTCCTTACGCTACACAATGAAAAAAAATAAAGAATTGTATCCATTGTTTTGATTTACTATTTTCACAATTGCGTAGTGTAAGGGTTGCACTTACCGGATCTGCTTTAAGGTGCAGTTACAAAAAAAATTGCCTCAAAAAAAAGGAGGCTAAAGTTGAATTCGCCAAAGTCTGGTACACTCTCTAAGGCATCTTGGAGTTAAAATTCGCCTCAATCGCGTCATTGTGGCCAAAACCAAAAATGCACTTAGAAATATGGAATTCACGTGGCTAAAAACTTGCGCCGCCAGAAAATACAGTTTCTTCCGTGCGCATTTTTGGTCTCCAGGCACGGCATGTTCAAAATACACCTGTCCCAATGTGTATTTTTGGTGTTTTGACGTTGTGTATTTTTTGCATATGTTTGGTGCATTTGCGATGCGATTTTTGCTAAAAAATGTATTTTTTTACGCGTTTGGCACCTGTGTCTCGCCCAGGCGTATTTTTTTTACGCATTGGGCACCTGCGTCTTGTGCAGGTGTATTTATTTTACGCGTGTGTGGAAATCGGACTTGCACGTGCTAGTTGTGTAAGTAGATTCCCTCCCTAAACCCTCCCAAGAAAAACACGGAAACCTACGTTCGCGTAAATTTTTCTACAAATTTAGTCCAAACTTCGCCAAGTATGTGTATTCATCTACTTAGCGTGAGGCTATCGCCACGGTATACATATAACCAATATACAGAAAAACACGCAATATATATATATACAACATGCAACTGCAGCAACTGACATCACAAGCACAGCAAATGTGGATGAGTTTCAAAAAAAGTGTTCCAACCCTATTTGTTTGATCCACTCAAATGGTTTCGATAGAAGATAAATTCATCATGGACTAAAAATCTAAAACTGTACATCCAAAAGAGTTGACAGTTCTTGTGTATATGTCAACATCGTGGTGCTGTATCATACAGTGGGTTGTGCAAAGAACTCTAGAGATTAAAATGTGTTCTTTGTTCTCTGAAATGACAAGGCGGAAATAAGAACGTTATTTCCGCATTGTTTAGAACAGTCACTTCGAAGAGTTCGAGCATGACCGGAAACAAACCTTAGGTGAGTTTCTCCTTTGTTTGGTGCTTCAAACCAACATTGAAGAGAACCAGCGTGACATGAAGTCATGCGAAGTGCGTGCTGGGGAAACATTGTTGTGTGGAGCTTACTGGGACCGCTGGCGACTGAGCGTACTGAGTGATTGAGACGCGCCAACTCTGAGTTTTCTCACATGGCAAGTGGAGCTCTTAAAGCGACCACGTGTTTAACACGTTTCATCAATTTCTGTGAGACCTTCCAAGAGCTCTGTTGCAATCCAACCTTCAAGGACGACCAGCGTGACGTGAAGTCATGCAAAGCATAGCTTCAGAGCCACCAGTCTGTGCGAATGTTGGGAAACACAAATGTCTGGTAGAGAAAGTGCTTGAAAGAATAAACGTGGCTCTCTACAGGCCTGACAGCAACTAGTGAAACTTGAGGCATCTCATTTCTGGCTACTCAACGGCCTGCGCAGAAGCCAAGGCATGTGCCACGACAGCTTCAGCTTCAAAGAGCAGCTGCCTCCTATAGCCACAGTTGCAGCATAGCTGGATGATTTCGGAATGTCCATTGCTCAGCAAATTCATTGAGTTGGAGCCTCGCAAGCCACTGCGCCAACTTTCTTGCAGCCTGAACAGAATGCATCGACCCTTGCGGCTTCACAGTGCAGTCTACGGTTTGAAGCTATCTACAAATGTTCTTGCGGCATGAATTGCCTACATACTTCATGCATGTCAAAGAATAAACGTGGCTCTCTACAGGCCTGACAGCAACTAGTGAAACTTGAGGCGTCTCATTTCTGGCTACCCAACGGCCTGCGCAGAAGCCAAGGCATGTGCCAAGACAGCTTCAGCTTCAAAGAGCAGCTGCCTCCTATAGCCACAGTTGCAGCATAGCTGGATGATTTCGGAATGTCCATTGCTCAGCAAATTCATTGAGTTGGAGCCTCGCAAGCCACTGCGCCAACTTTCTTGCAGCCTGAACAGAATGCATCGACCCTTGCGGCTTCACAGTGCAGTCTACGGTTTGAAGCTATCTACAAATGCTCTTGCGGCATGAGTTGCCTGCATACTTCATGCATGTCCATTCGACAATATGCAATATATCATATAATATCACTTAATCGTTATGTCTACAATTTTCTATGGCATATGTCATGTGTTTGTACATAATACCCGTAAAAGGTCGCCACTTGAGATGTGCCAACTGCAGGCACCTGGACAGCTTTTGTTGTTTTCACTCACTCAGTGCGCTCGGCCGTCATCGATCCGAGCAAGTTCTGCAAGTCCGACACCGAAAGTTGACGAGCTGCCTGAAGGAGGGATCAAGGGTATAGAGTGCTGGGGATATCTTATCAACATCTCAATATATGGTCAATATTTTTGGCTATATCTCAGAAAGCAAATACATGGTGCCTTCAACAGGCAAGAACAAAACCAGACTGCGCCTTGACCAACTTGGCCTTTCGCTTCTGCGCGGCCTTCATGTGTGCTTTGTTAGCTTTGAAGGCCTGACACACGCCAAGCAGGGAAAGGTTGCAGACTGGAAGCACCAAACACCCATTCAACCCAAACACGAAGCTACCTCGCGCAGCTCTTGTCGTCGCTGCTTGAGCTCGGCAAGCTCAGCCTGCAGCACCTGCCCACACTTGCAATCACAGGCCATCACCGATCAATGATGGATAGCGCCGCTTGGACACAGAATATGCTTAAAGAATCCTAAAACAATGCACTCGCTGGCTCCCAAAAACTGGTTCCAAAATGACATTGAAATTCAGATACGTCATGTATCTCCCCCCAGTATGCATTCCCAGCTGTTGCATCTTTTCACCTGATCAAGGCAGAGCTACTGCTACCATCAGTTCAAGGTTCGGATGTATGGAATTAAGCTGTCATCACCAGCGCACTCTTTCACCCATGCTTCAATGTTGCCACTTCCAGCACCGCGGCTTGGGAAGATACACGATGCTTGCCCCACACTAGGGCGCCCAGCTGGAATCTTTGGACACTCATCCCATTGCAAGGCTTTCAATGCATGCGACGATATGCAATTCTGCTGCTTGGTCACTCCAGTTCCTTCAAAAGCCCGCTGCCAATCTCGATGCGAAAGCACTGTCTCCACTGCAGTGGCCATCACACGTAGCCATGCTTCTCGGGAAACAACACCTTCAGCAGCTTCGCTCTTTGTCTGCGTCCACTGCCGCCGGATCTCACAGCGTAGGGTGCGAAAAATATATGCATCAAGCGGTTGAAGTGTACCGGTAGCACCAGCCGGCACCACTAGGACCTGCAACCCCAATGTTTTGGCCAATGACCTCACAGTAGAATGGAGGTGGCATGCAGCACAGTCGAAGAGGAGCGTCAAAGGCTTTTCAGGGCAGTAAGATTGCCAATTTTCATGTAGAAGACGCAAATAGGAACACATGAATGCAGCAGTATTCCATGCGGTGGCACCACGCCAAATTTTCAATCGATCCGTGATTGCCGGATCCAAGGACTTCATAAATTTGATGGGAAACTGGGTCTTGTTGGCAATGATAACCTGCGGCAAGATTGCGTTGAAACCGAAGTCTGTAGACACTGATGCTAAGAGCGTCATCCGGGACCTCTGGGTACTCAAAGATGCTCGCACTGCACCACGTACAGACCGCAAAACAGTACCTCGGCACCCTTCCACGTGCACAGCCAAAGAACATTCATCCATGTTGACCAAAATATTGTCTGGCGGGATGCAGTTGGCCCACCGGTAAAAAGAATAGGCCTGGCTTGCAAGCTCCAAAACAAAAATTGCTTCAAAAGCAGGCCCCAAAAAAGGGGTGCCAAAAATGAACCCTAAAAAGGGGGCCACCCTATTTACCTGAGCCATGGGGACCTGAAATTGGGGTTCCAGAACTGCTTTCAAAATTGGGTACCAAACCGACCCAACCCGACCAAGTCCACGCCTTCTCCTGCAACACATGGATTGGCAAAGAAGCTGTGACAGGTAAGGTGCCTATGCGCCCGTTCCAAGCTTTCCGAAAACGTCTCAAATATGCCCGTTGGGATGGAGGGCCACCATAGAAAGGCAAACACAGGCGGTTCTCTACAGCCTCTGGAAGGCCGTCCGGAACAAAGAGCAAAGCCTGTCTTACTAACTGCTGCCTTGTGGGGGCCACTCCATACTCGACATTTTGAGACCTGACCCAATCATGAAGCAGGTATTGTATAATGAAATCACAAGCCCGGTACAGCTCCGATGCAGGTGGGTCTGTGCTCAACCGAGCCATCAACGCTGCCGAAGTAGCGGCAAACAAAGCATCGAAGGCATCCTTCGCCGACACGGCCACCTGCACAATCACCAGAGGAGCAGCGCGAGCGAGGTAGGTAGCCGCGGCGTCCAAAGCATGATGCGACGTCTTTGCTTGGCTCCAAAGGTAGACCAGGAGCGCCTGTCTCACGCATGAAGCAGAGAGGCCGCTCCATGAGCCTTGCGACTCATCCAGCTGTCTTCTCAAACTTCTCCTCACGGAGCGGATCCTGCGGCTCAAGCCCGCCAACTCAATTGAGCTCATGGCTGCACATACATGGCATCACATCTCAAAGTACTGCCCGCAGGTAGAATGCTATCATGTCAAGGTCACTTGCTGCCACTTTGAAAATTAGTTGTCAGTTCAAGACAGCAAGCTCTGGGGTCCCCATCCGTTAGTAAACTTTTTGGACTTGTGGAAATCAACGTTAACTTTGAAGCACTTGCTTGATGCGTTCGGTCAAAGCAGCGGTGCACACAGGAGCTGCGTTCTAGGTTCCCAAGTACAGCATGGGATGCTTTCTGGTTGCAACATAAAGCGTGGGCAAATCCAAGTGGAGGAAAAAAATAATATATATATATATATACAAACATTCTTTACGCAATTTTTTGCACACTGTGGGGAGACATCGGCTTGGCCCGGAACATGTGCAAATTTCAACCCCAGAAACCTGGCCCCACCCAAACACCATGCGCGCCTCCGGTGCGCGAGCTTTGGGTGGCATGTTCGGCAACGCAAGAGCTACCCACACGGCCAAGCTATGCCCCAAAAACACTGGAGCAAAAACGCAAAAGTGTTGGGACAAAAAAAGCTGTGCTGGAAGTGCTGGGGCAAAAAAGTCTACGCTGGACACGCAAGTCACACATTGGCACACTGCTTCCAAGAGATGTCAGCCTGCATGATTGCAGACATATAGAGATTGACGCATAGACAGATGGATCGGCGGCAGATAGACAAACAGGCAGACAGACAGACAGACAGGCAGGAATAGATGGGAAGGTGCCTTTGACCGCAGCAAGAAAACCTGGTTGGTTAGAGAATCCAGTTGGGACAGACACACACGGCTCACTGCGCTACGCTACTTTTGCGGGTCCAAAGCTGTCGAAGCGCTGCGACATCACAAGTTCTGTGAGAAGTTGGGCTATGGATAACTCCTTCGGAGATTCTAAGTCACCTCATGCCACCAAAATCAAAAACGTCTTCTTCATCCTGCTCTGCACTCAAGGCCAATTCTTCCAACTCAGCCTTTCTTTTTGCTTCCTCCGCAAAAAACGGGAAAATCATTTGGACAAATCTCTTGCTCACCATGATATAGATGCAAGGGCAAACTTTGGACCCGGAAATATTGCGTAGTGTCTGCGTTTGGGGAGTCTAGTACTGTCCAGACATGGTCTACCCCTTTCTGTGCACATGAGCGGGGACCAAAACTAGGGGTCACAAAGGCGGTCATGAGCAAAAGTTTATCGGTTTAGATCGTTCGCTATATCGATTTACATGCTTTTGGAGCATGACGAACGATGGCTCTTGATTTGGAGATCCATTTCCATTCATCTCCGCAGAATCCAAAATAGGTGGTCAGCAGTCTGCTGTCCACTGTTGGCTTCAAAGTGCAGAAGGAATTTCCCGCAGAACTCAGAACAACTTGGTTTTGCACTGTTGCATGCCTACCAGGTGGCTAAAGTAATGTAAAGTCATGTAAAGTCAACCCACCGCATGGGCACACCCATTCATGGTTGCTTCTCAAATACTGCGCCTGCCGCCTGCCACGTTCAAGCTGGCCATAGTTGCTTCTCAAATACTGCCCCTGCCACCTGCCACGTTCAAGATGGCCATAGTTGCTTCTCAAATACTGCCCCTGCCACCTGGCACGTTCAAGATGGCCATAGTTGCTTCTCAAATACTGCCCCTGCCACCTGCCACCTTCAAGCTGGCCATAATTGTTTCTCAAATAGTGCGCCTTGCCAGTTGCAACGTTCAAGCTGCCCATAGTTACTTCTCAAATACTGCCCCTGCCAGTTGCCACGTTCAAGAGGGCCATAGTTGTTTCTCAAATACTGCCCCTGCCAGTTGCCACGTTCAAGATGGCCATAGTTGCTTCTCAAGTACTGCGCCTGCCAGTTGCCACGTTCAAGATGGCCATAGTTGCTTCTCAAATACTGCCCCTGCCAGTTGCCACGTTCAAGCTGGCCATAGTTGCTTCTCAAATACTGCGCCTGCCAGTTGCCACGTTCAAGATGGCCATAGTTGTTTCTCAAACACTGCCCGTGCCAGCTGCCACGTTCAAGATGGACATAGTTGTTTCATAAGTACTGCGCCTGCCCACAATTTTTCTCATAAGATGGCATTTTTTATCTTACATTGTTTGGGTTCGATTTTTTTGCCACAGACATTTTTATAAGGTGCCATTTTTTTTCAACTGTTTTGCTCCGATTTTTTTGGCAACAGTCATTTTTATAAGGCGCATTTTTTATCCTACGCTGTTTGGTTCAGATTTCTTTGGCCACAGTCATTTTTATAAGGTGCCATTTTTTTCAACTGTTTGGCTCCGTTTTTTTGGCAACAGTCATTTTATAAATTGCATTGTCTTATCTTGCACTGTGGCTCAATTTTTTTTCGCCGCAGTCCATTTTTTTGTTTTCAACTGTCTGGTTCCGATTTTTTTGGTCACTGTCATTTTTATAAGGCGTTTTTTTTTTCCTACGCTGTTTGGTTCAGATTTTTTGGGCCACAGTCATTTTTGTAAGGTGCCATTTTTTGCAACTGTTTGGCTCCGTTTTTTTGGCAACAGTCATTTTATAGATTGCATTTTCTTACCTTGCACTGTGGCTCATTTTTTTCTCGCCACAGTAATTTTTATAGGGTGCCATTTTTTATCTTCAACTGTTTGGCTCCGATTTTTTTGGCCACTGTCATTTTTATATAAGGCGCATTTTTTACCTTACACTGTTTGGTTCAATTTGTTTTCGCCACTGTGGTTTTTATAACGTGCCATATTTTTTTTCAACTGTTTTGCTCCCATTTTTTGCCAGCAGTTTTTTTTTTTAATTGCCATTTTTTTTCATCTTACACTGTTAGGCTCAGATTTTTTTCGCCACAATCATTTCTATAAGGTGCCATTTTTTATCTTCAACTGTTGGCTCCGATTTTTTGGCCACGGTCATTTTTATAAGCCGCAGTTTTTGATCTTACACTGTTTGTCTCAGGTTTTTTTGGGCACAAACATTTTTGTAAGGTGCCATTTTTTGCAACTGTTTGGCTCCGGTTTTTTGGCAACAGTGATTCTTTAAATTGCATTTTTTTATCTTGCACTGTGTGGCTCATTTATTTTCGCCACAGTCATTTTTATAAGGTGCCATTTTTTATCTTCAACTGTTTGGCTCCGATTTTTTTGGTCACTGTCATTTTTATATAAGGCGCATTTTTTACCTTACACTGTTTGGTTCAATTTGTTTTCGCCACTGTGGTTTTTATAACGTGCCATATTTTTTTTCAACTGTTTTGCTCCCATTTTTTGCCAGCAGTTTTTTTATAAATTGCCATTTTTTATCTTACACTGTTAGGCTCAGATTTTTTTCGCCACAGTCATTTCTATAAGGTGCCATTTTTTATCTTCAACTGTTTGGTTCCGATTTTTTGGCCACGGTCATTTTTATAAGCCGCATTTTCTGATCTTACACTGTTTGTCTCAGATTTTTTTGGGCACAAACATTTTTGTAGGGTGCTAAATTTTGTCTTCAACTGTTTGGTTCCCATTTTTTGGCCACTGTTGTTTTTATAAGGTGCATTTTTTTATCCTACGCTGTTTGGCTCAGATCGTTTTGGCGCCGCCCAAACTCAAGATGAGATAAGGTGCCTCTAAAATGCTGCGCGTGCCACTGCCTTCTCAAATACTCCGCGCCTGCCACTGCACAAATTTAAGTTTCCATAGATAGTTACCCGGGCGCGTCCTTACGCTACACAATGAAAAAAAATAAAGAATTGTATCCATTGTTTTGATTTACTATTTTCACAATTGCGTAGTGTAAGGGTTGCACTTACCGGATCTGCTTTAAGGTGCAGTTACAAAAAAAATTGCCTCAAAAAAAATGAGGCTAAAGTTGAATTCGCCAAAGTCTGGTACACTCTCTAAGGCATCTTGGAGTTAAAATTCGCCTCAATCGCGTCATTGTGGCCAAAGCCAAAAATGCACTTAGAAATATGGAATTCACGTGGCTAAAAACTTGCGCCGCCAGAAAATACAGTTTCTTCCGTGCGCATTTTTGGTCTCCAGGCACGGCATGTTCAAAATACACCTGTCCCAATGTGTATTTTTGGTGTTTTGACGTTGTGTATTTTTTGCATATGTTTGGTGCATTTGCGATGCGATTTTTGCTAAAAAATGTATTTTTTTACGCGTTTGGCACCTGTGTCTCGCCCAGGCGTATTTTTTTTACGCATTGGGCACCTGCGTCTTGTGCAGGTGTATTTATTTTACGCGTGTGTGGAAATCGGACTTGCACGTGCTAGTTGTGTAAGTAGATTCCCTCCCTAAACCCTCCCAGGAAAAACACGGAAACCTACGTTCGCGTAAATTTTTCTACAAATTTAGTCCAAACTTCGCCAACTATGTGTATTCATCTACTTAGCGTGAGGCTATCGCCACGGTATACATATAACCAATATACAGAAAAACACGCAATATATATATATATATATACAACATGCAACTGCAGCAACTGACATCACAAGCACAGCAAATGTGGATGAGTTTCAAAAAAAGTGTTCCAACCCTATTTGTTTGATCCACTCAAATGGTTTCGATAGAAGATAAATTCATCATGGACTAAAAATCTAAAACTGTACATCCAAAAGAGTTGACAGTTCTTGTGTATATGTCAACATCGTGGTGCTGTATCATACAGTGGGTTGTGCAAAGAACTCTAGAGATTAAAATGTGTTCTTTGTTCTCTGAAATGACAAGGCGGAAATAAGAACGTTATTTCCGCATTGTTTAGAACAGTCACTTCGAAGAGTTCGAGCATGACCGGAAACAAACCTTAGGTGAGTTTCTCCTTTGTTTGGTGCTTCAAACCAACATTGAAGAGAACCAGCGTGACATGAAGTCATGCGAAGTGCGTGCTGGGGAAACATTGTTGTGTGGAGCTTACTGGGACCGCTGGCGACTGAGCGTACTGAGTGATTGAGACGCGCCAACTCTGAGTTTTCTCACATGGCAAGTGAAGCTCTTAAAGCGACCACGTGTTTAACACGTTTCATCAATTTCTGTGAGACCTTCCAAGAGCTCTGTTGCAATCCAACCTTCAAGGACGACCAGCGTGACGTGAAGTCATGCAAAGCATAGCTTCAGAGCCACCAGTCTGTGCGAATGTTGGGAAACACAAATGTCTGGTAGAGAAAGTGCTTGAAAGAATAAACGTGGCTCTCTACAGGCCTGACAGCAACTAGTGAAACTTGAGGCATCTCATTTCTGGCTACTCAACGGCCTGCGCAGAAGCCAAGGCATGTGCCAAGACAGCTTCAGCTTCAAAGAGCAGCTGCCTCCTATAGCCACAGTTGCAGCATAGCTGGATGATTTCGGAATGTCCATTGCTCAGCAAATTCATTGAGTTGGAGCCTCGCAAGCCACTGCGCCAACTTTCTTGCAGCCTGAACAGAATGCATCGACCCTTGCGGCTTCACAGTGCAGTCTACGGTTTGAAGCTATCTACAAATGTTCTTGCGGCATGAATTGCCTACATACTTCATGCATGTCAAAGAATAAACGTGGCTCTCTACAGGCCTGACAGCAACTAGTGAAACTTGAGGCGTCTCATTTCTGGCTACCCAACGGCCTGCGAAGAAGCCAAGGCATGTGCCAAGACAGCTTCAGCTTCAAAGAGCAGCTGCCTCCTATAGCCACAGTTGCAGCATAGCTGGATGATTTCGGAATGTCCATTGCTCAGCAAATTCATTGAGTTGGAGCCTCGCAAGCCACTGCACCAACTTTCTTGCAGCCTGAACAGAATGCATCGACCCTTGCGGCTTCACAGTGCAGTCTACGGTTTGAAGCTATCTACAAATGCTCTTGCGGCATGAGTTGCCTGCATACTTCATGCATGTCCATTCGACAATATGCAATATATCATATAATATCACTTAATCGTTATGTCTACAATTTTCTATGGCATATGTCATGTGTTTGTACATAATACCCGTAAAAGGTCGCCACTTGAGATGTGCCAACTGCAGGCACCTGGACAGCTTTTGTTGTTTTCACTCACTCAGTGCGCTCGGCCGTCATCGATCCGAGCAAGTTCTGCAAGTCCGACACCGAAAGTTGACGAGCTGCCTGAAGGAGGGATCAAGGGCATAGAGTGCTGGGGATATCTTATCAACATCTCAATATATGGTCAATATTTTTGGCTATATCTCAGAAAGCAAATACATGGTGCCTTCAACAGGCAAGAACAAAACCAGACTGCGCCTTGACCAACTTGGCCTTTCGCTTCTGCGCGGCCTTCATGTGTGCTTTGTTAGCTTTGAAGGCCTGACACACGCCAAGCAGGGAAAGGTTGCAGACTGGAAGCACCAAACACCCATTCAACCCAAACACGAAGCTACCTCGCGCAGCTCTTGTCGTCGCTGCTTGAGCTCGGCAAGCTCAGCCTGCAGCACCTGCCCACACTTGCAATCACAGGCCATCACCAATCAATGATAGATAGCGCCGCTTGGACACAGAATATGCTTAAAGAATCCTAAAACAATGCACTCGCTGGCTCCCAAAAACTGGTTCCAAAATGACATTGAAATTCAGATACGTCATGTATCTCCCCCCAGTACCATAAAACAAATCCCAACAGATACCAGTCTCACCGCATCCACGAATGTTATATCAATGCCATAATCCCGAACACTAAGATGACACTACAGCACTTCAATTGGTCGGGCCAATTGATGTAGTCTCACCCGAGCATTCTTCCAGTGACTGGAGTCACGAATTCCAAATTGCTTCCTCAAAGAATGCCCGCATTGAATTCTCCAAAGCAGAATATGCACGCCCCACCAAAGCAGAACTCGCACACTGTACCACTTCATCTCGTTCATCCAAATATGCACAAAGCCAGAAGCTTTCCTCGCTAGCCAAAAAATACCGGATATTTCCACAGTTTCGGGAGGATGGTCTGAACTGCTCGAAGCGCGCCCGCAATGTCCGGGACATGCCTGCGTGAGGGCAGTCCGACCGTTCGCTTGGCATATTCATCAGCGAAGTAGAGTCTGCACAACTTGGATACCCACTGGCTCGGCTTCTCCATGTCCATGATCTTGGCCAGGGGCCATGGGTCTGGGAGCGTGGACAAGCAATGCAGTAATTCAGAAGTCAGGTCTGAGGAGATGACTGGGAGGGCTTCTCCTTGCGGGCGATAGTCAACTGCTGGCCCTACCGTGCCCTTGCTTTTTTGTGTATGGGTGCGGGCGGCTATATACACTGCTTGGATGGTGGACTCATATTGGTTGACCATAGCTCTTAAGTACTTGCATGCGCGGAATCTTGAACTGGCGTCTCTTTCGCGCGTGGCAAGTGGTCTGGGATTGGCAACGTAGATGTAATCGCAGGACGACCTCAGAGAACGGGAGAGTCTGCTCAGGGAGCCACTTATGTTGAGTTGCTAAGTCTGTTTTGACTTCTTGGAGGCGCTCTCTGTTTAGCCAGTGAAGGTCTGACCCCCGCACCAATATTAGACGGTATCTCGCCCGCTTCACTTCGTTCGGTTGCTGATCGTGGTATTGGTTGGCGATTGCAAGGGGAGGGAAGTCTTCGGTATCTTCTGTAGGGGAACCATTGGAGTACACGAGGTCCCTTTGTGGCCGCCATGTTTCTACTAGTTTTTTGGATCTTGTTTTCGGGGCCATGATGAAGCAGGCTTGTCGCCAAACACTAAAGTCTTTGGCTGCTGAATGTCTTGTTGGCGATCGTTTGGGGCTGCTGAATTTCTTGACTCCTGTCTGCGTGGACTGATTGTTTGGTTGCTTGCATTTGGTGCAGGTGGCTGTTTGTTTTGGACAGATGTCGTTGACACACTTCCTGGATCTGGGTTGGTGCCTATAGAAAGTGTATTTTTTGCTGATACGAACACAGCTACAATTTTTATCCCGCACCCAATGTCAATTTGGGAATAGACCGAGAGGGGACAGCGAAAAGCCAAGACGGTCAACAAAAAGGAACATTGGCCCATGTAAAGCGTAAAGTTGCAACGGCCCTTTCAATGAAGGTGAAACTTGTTTAAAAATACTGTACAAGAAACAAAGTGGGACGCAGAGAGAGAAAAAGCATGTATTAACACCTACGCTCATACTAGTGCGTCGCAAATCTGCTTGCAAAACCTCTGCGGGCAGCAGCAAAATTCTCCGGTGGCTGACCCCACTTTTGGGTCCAAATCTGGACCCCAAAACGGGGCCCAAGCAAAGACCTAAAAGAAGGAATGAAAATGTCATCCAATTCTGGACCCTATTTTGGGGTCCATATTTGGACCCAAAAATGGGGTCAGCCATCGGAGAATTTCGCTGCTGCCCGCACATGTTGTGCAAGCAGATTTGCGACCCTGCAGCTTGAACATGAATGTCAACTCATACCTTTTTCTCTTTGTGCGGCCCAAGTCCGGTTGCTACTGTACAAGAAACAAAGTGGGACGCAGAGAGAGAAAAAGCATGTATTAACACTTACGCTCATGCTAGTGCGTCGCAAATCTGCTTGCAAAACCTCTGCGGGCAGCAGCAAAATTCTCCGATGGCTGACCCCACTTTTGGGTCCAAATCTGGATCCCAAAACGGGGCCCAAGCAAAGACCTAAAAGAAGGAATGAAAATGTGATCCAATTCTGGACCCCATTTTGGGGTCCATATTTGGACCCAAAAATGGGGTCAGCCATCGGAGAATTTCGCTGCTGCCCGCACATGTTGTGCAAGCAGATTTGCGACCCTGCAGCTTGAACATGTATGTCAACTCACACCTTTTTCTCTTTGTGCGTCCCAAGTCCGGTTGCACTGTACAAGAAACAAAGTGGGACGCAGAGAGAGAAAAGCATGTATTAACACTTACGCTCATGCTAGTGCGTCGCAAATCTGCTTGCAAAACCTCTGCGGGCAGCAGCAAAATTCTCCGATGGCTGACCCCACTTTTGGGTCCAAATCTGGATCCCAAAACGGGGCCCAAGCAAAGACCTAAAAGAAGGAATGAAAATGTGATCCAATTCTGGACCCCATTTTGGGGTCCATATTTGGACCCAAAAATGGGTCAGCCATCGGAGAATTTCGCTGCTGCCCGCACATGTTGTGCAAGCAGATTTGCGACCCTGCAGCTTGAACATGAATGTCAACTCATACCTTTTTCTCTTTGTGCGGCCCAAGTCCGGTTGCTACTGTCAAGGTCCCTTTATCGCAGCCATGTTTTGACCAAGTTTGGGCCCCGTTTTAGGGGCCATGATGAAGCAGGTTTGTTGGCATTCGAGGCGCTCCAAGGCTTATCGAGGCCTGCCCGAGGCACGAGGACAAAGCGAGGCTCACGGGGACTCGAATCTATATACTATGGGGGTACGCCCATGCGTCACCGCAAAACTGCCTGTTTTGGGGCCCTGGTTTTGGCACCTCATTTTGCTCAATCTTGCGGCCGCTTCTTGCTACTTACATGGGGGAAGGTTTTGGCGGCAGCAGGTTCCGAGTCCTTTATGGTGGAGAAATCTATTGCAGGTTCTGGTGCGCGAGCTGAACCACTTCAAGCAGCAGCGCAAAGCGTTGCGACAGGCATCTCAACTGTGTTGCTTTGGCTTGCAGATGCAATTCGTCACTGTTTTCTGATGTTGGCCCTCTTGAGACCATCGCGCAGAACAAGACAGAACAGAAATCGGCAGCAAAGCGCCGCCAGCGGTTGCTAAAAGCACCCCAACAGCCGCCAAGCTAGGATGTGCGTTTTCCCACAGCGCGGAGCGTATAGTTGATGAACTTGGACTACTATACCCTGAAAACCGTGGAAATTTGCGGAAAAACATGGCCAGCGTATAGCGTATAGTTGGTTCAATTCGATAAAAAAACCTTACTTTAAAAAAATCTTTCTTAGAATGTAAGCCGACCGGCCAAAATGGATCTCACGCCACAGCGCGGAGCGTTTAGTAGGGTACTAAACCGTCTGGCCCGCAACACCAAAATTGTGTTCTCGCCACAGCGCGTTGGGTTTAGTTGGGCTCTTTGTTTGTACGATTATTCTACAAATTCCATTTGTTTGCCTGCCGGGCGCAGCACTTGAGAACCCCGTACGGCCATCTTAAAGGTTGAAGCGCGGCAGGCGCAGCGCTTGAGAACCCTGTACGGCCATCTTCAAAGTTGAAGCGCGGCAGGTGCAGCGCTTGAGAACTCCGTGCGGCCATCGTAAAGGTTGAAGTGCGGCAGGTGCAGCGCTTGAGAACACAGTACGGCCATCTTAAAGGTTGACGCGCGGCAGGCGCTGCGCTTTAGAACCCAGTATGGCCATCTTAAACATTGAAGCGTGGCAGGCGCAGCCCTTGAGAACCCCGTACGGCCATCTTTCCTTGCATGGCCCCCACAGGGGCTAACCACAAACTGAACCCCTGCGACCCCATTGTCAATGTTGAGGGTGTGTTGATGCTATTGCAACTAAGAAGTGAATTCCTATTTGAGGATGTGACCTCAGGCAAACTTTCTTTTGATGGCTATCAGTTCAAAAGGTGAAACTGCAACATTTAAGCCTCCGTCCAACATTAAAGATGGGGCGCGGGGATTTAAACATACGTCAAATCCTCATCTTGGATTTGCAACTGCAAGTCTGGAGTCTGGAAGCCCAAACATCGACGATTCTCCTTTGCAGGAATGCCGATGTCGGGATTCTCCACAGGAACTGTAAATCTGAACACCACAAGCCGCTTTTGAAGCATCTGTAAATCTCCGAGCGTCACACCGGCTTTCGGTGTGTGTGTGTAGATAGTCCAATCTTCCAGTGAAGAAAAAGGGGAGCTACAGCAATCATAGCTGAGGGTCAAAGATCGCGTTTATCTTTCTTGGTGGAGGCTTCAGGTTGGGCTTGCCACTGTGATGGGCGCTGTCCTTCTGCTGCAAGAGCACTGTTGATTTCCAACCACATTGATGAGAAAGAGTTCACTACTGCAATTTTTTCAGCTTTGTTCCATGGACGGGGCAAGCAACGAAATATAGCTTTGTTGGTTTCCTCTGCAAATGAGGGAAATCTTTCATCTGGGCCCCAATGAAGGAGATCTACCCACAGGGCAGTGTGTGCTTGGCACCATCGGCTTCCACCTTTCCACTGCTCCATGTGGAGGCGTCAAATAAAAGTATCCAGCCGCGCTTCAACCTTTCAGATGGCCGTACGGGGTTCTCAAGTGCTGCGCCCGTCACGCAAAAAATTGAATCTCTAAAATAATCGTGCACAAAGAGCCCAACTAAACCCACCGCGCTGTGGCGAGAACACAATTTTGGTGTTGCGGGCCTGTGGCGTGAGATCCATTTTGGCCGGTCAGCTCACATTCTAAGAAAGATTTTTCTTAGTAAGGTTTTTTATCGAATTGAACCAACTATACGTTATACGCTGGCCATGTTTTTCCGCAAATTTCCACGGTTTTCAGGGTATAGTAGTCCAAGTTCATCAACTATACGCTTCGCGCTGTGGAAAAACCGGTA